CTGATCTCCTATGGGGAGGGCCTGTCCAGGCAATGTGAGTCCTGTTCCAGAGGGCTCCAGGTGTTCTTACTGAGCATGTGCAGCCTTGGCACAATGGTGGGTTGCCTCATCTTTTGTTTCTTGAATGCTGAGGGAGGTTCCAAGGGCTGGGTCCTTGGTCCAGGTGTTGGTGGTGATGGTTCAGTCATTCAGAGGGAGCTATTTTTTGACCTACTGCCATTGTCTCTCAAGCACCCTCATTCACTCCCATTCATTCAGGAACCAAGTTACATAGGAGGGGTAGGTGTGAGTCATAGGTTACACAACTGGGCATGGGGATAAGATGGAGGCTTGACATGACTTATGCTAACTTACATATATAGGCCTAAAACAGTAATTACACAATATAAAAGCAATAAAAAAACCCAATACAAAACATAATAATTATCACTTCTAAAACAGTGGCACTTATAAAATAGCAGGGCACTTACTTGCAGAGAGGAGAGAAAAATAAAACTTACTACCTAAAATAAAATGTTAAAGCTTATCCTACATCTTAGCTTACTTATATTGATCTATCAGGAATAGAGAGGGAGAGAAAAAGTCAGAAATGGTATAAAAAAACCCAATACAAAACATAATAATTATCACTTCTAAAACAGTGGCACTTATAAAATAGCAGGGCACTTACTTGCAGAGAGGAGAGAAAAATAAAACTTACTACCTAAAATAAAATGTTAAAGCTTATCCTACATCTTAGCTTACTTATATTGATCTATCAGGAATAGAGAGGGAGAGAAAAAGTCAGAAATGGTTGGGGAAGGGGAGGGAATGCATTTAAAAAAAGAAAAAGAAAAACAGGGGGTTTTGCTACATTATCATCATAAATCCATCCTTCCTTCCACGTATGGGCAAGGTATGCACCAATGTATTTACACAGCCATGTTTCGTGATAACTGCCTATGATAGGTGTTTGTGCCTGAAAGCTTGCAAAGAACAATTTTTCCAGCTACAGTATTTAGTTGGTCTAATAAGATATCACATTTACCCAAAGAACCTTGTCTGCCTATGATGATAATGTATACTGTGGGCCAATTTCACCAGCGCCAGATGCAGGTGACACCTGGAGGTAGACCTGGGAAAGGGAGGAGCACTGATCTCACCTAGGTGGGCAAATCTAGTGTTTATATGTTCATTCTCTTCCAGTAGAGGGAGCCCCAGACTGTAACATGTGAAGGGGGAGGCAGTTATCAGGGGTGTGCGATGTGGGCCAATTCGATTTGGATTTGGATTTGGCCTGAATCAGGGACAGTGATTCGATTTGTTGATTTGGATCACTGTCCCTGATTCAATTCAACCGAATCTGAAGATTCAATGCTGATTCGGAAAATCAGTGATTTGGACATAGACACAGCTTTAAATGTTTTTTCTACATACCTCAAGGTATCAGGCACAGCTCGTGATTGCTATGATGCTGGAGCTCATGGAGCGTCCCACAGGAGTGCGGGGGGCCCTCCACGTGCTCAGCAGCAAACCTGGAAGTGGACTGGAAGTGTGCCCAGTCCACTTCCAGGTCTGCCAGGGAGCACATGGGGGGCTTCCCCGCACCCCTGCCAGCTCGGTGAATGGCCATGGGTGCCCACCCCAGACCCAGGAGGCACCAGTCACTGAGCTGGAGGGGTGGGCTCTGTGTGCTCCCTGGCGGACCTGAAAGTGGACTGGAAGTGCTTCTGATCCAGGTCTGCTGCTGAGCACGCTGGGGAGCCCCCTGCACTTCTGTGGGACACTCCATGTGCCCCAGCATCACAGCACTCACGAGCCCCTGCTACCTCGAGATATGTAGAAAAAACGTTTAAAGCTGTGTCTATGTCCAAATTGATTTGGAGGGATTAAAGGGTCCTCTGATTCAATTCGGATTCAGAGATTCAGCCACTGAATCGGGCTGAATCAAATCAGGGACTGAAGCTTTGCACAGCCCTAGTGGTTATACCCATATTCTCTGTTACTGTATGGTGTGCCCATGCCATACGTAGGTCTCTCTTGACAGTGTTCTGCTCTTTCCTGCTTTCCGGGGCAGGGTGCAAGGCTGGGGCCTTTTTGCATGGAGGATGACGGCAAAGAGTAATGGTCTGAAGAGCTCACCTGCCAACCACCACTCTCCCCGGTTGTCTGTCAAAGCCAAGACTGAGGATGATCCAGACAAGACTGAGATCAGCACCAGCAGGTCAGGCTACTCTTTGGTTTGGAACTGGAACCTGGCCCTCAGTAGAGGCAGTGGGGGCCTATTAATGCTGAAAGGGACTAGTAGGGTCACATGGGGTTCAGAATGCTCTTGTGGAGTCTGCCTGCTGATTCTGTCAGGCATGAAATAATGGAGGTGGCCCAGTGGTTGGAGAGCACTGTTCAGCTCCAGCAGGGTGACCACATGGGTGTGGAGCATTGTAGCTGCTCTGGGGCAAGTCTGTGTGAAGGTATCTCATTTAAATGCTGTTCTGAAACGGGGTATTCACGCTGCATTGTCTGGTAGAGGTGTTTTCTCTCTTGCCATCCTGCTTGATCTTGGTATGTGTAACTGTCAAGCTGTAGGGTTTAGTCTGAAGCCACAGATGCACTTTTTACTTTTTTACTGGCTCAGCCTGTGGTCATTTCAAGTGGTATGCTCTGGAAGCTCAAAAGTAGAGACTTTCTTGGAGGCCAGAGGGGGACCTTTCATGAAGAGCTTGGGGAGGAACATGAGGCTTGATTCTCATGTCTAGGGCTGAGGTACTGCCTTGCAGCTTGGGCAGGAAACCTTTGACTAGGTTTGACTATATTCTCCAGTAGCTGTGGTCTGTTAGGAAAGACTGCTGGCACCTGCTTAAGACACATTTTGACTTTGGGGCCTACTTCTGAGAGATCTATTGATGGGTTGTGTGGGCAATATCTTAACTACTTATATGGCCCCCATTATTGTAACTAAGCACTTCATAATCTTCAGTGTAGTTGTCCTCTTGCTCCTGTCAGATGGGGAAAAAGCTATTATTTCCACTTTACCCATGGGAAGCAGAGGCAGGGAGGCTAAGTGATGTGAGCAATGCCATATGATAAGTCTGTGATGGACCAGAGAACTGAACTTTGGGGTCCTGGCACCCTAACAACCAGGTCATCCTACTGAGAGCCAGCACCTTGGAAATGCCAACAAGCCCCAGGGCATGAGCCCATGAGGGAGAGAATCCAAAGGGAAATCCAGACCCTGTGACACTTGATTTAGCAAGCTGTGCAGTCACTTCAGCCTATATAAGCCATCATGCTGCATCTCCTGCAGAAAGCCAAATGCACCTGTATTGCTTGAGGGGAGTGACAGGGCGAGATTATTTGCAAGAGCAACCTCTCCAGGGCAGAATGGAGAAACCAAGGATTGGAATAAGAGAGGGAGTTAATTCCATTCTCATCTTTAGGGTGATTGTTACATCCATACCAAGTTTACTCTAACACAGGAGGAGCCATGCATATGGGGGAAGCACAGATGTAAATGAACATCCAAGCCCTACATAGACACATAGGGCAAGTCGCAGAAGTCTGGGATGGACAATCACAGAATAAATGCCAGATTCCTTCTCTCTCTTCTTCAGGGAGAGTTCATCTAATGTTGAATGAGAGTGGCCAAGAACAACTGACCTGTAACCCTGACCTGTCTTTTACCCTTTGCAGGGCTGAGTCTGCCGATGACACTTCCTCAGAACTGCAGAGAATTGCTGCATTGGACAATGCAGATCAGCCAGCCCGAAGAAGAGGAGCTCTGACCAGGTATCTGTGCCTGGAGGGATGGAGCCAGGCAAGGGGAAAAGAGCTGCGTGTGGAGTCCTGTATTGAATTTCCAGCATGCTTGAGGGAACTTGCTTAATCAACCTAGCCTCCAAAGGCTTTGCCATTACAGTTGAGCACAAAGCCCTTGCATTTAGTTGTGAAAAGTTTGTGGTGAAATTGGAAGAAGTCTACAAAATGTCACCATTCAGGTGCTTGAAACTCTTTGCATGGGCCATGTGTGGCTCTGAATTAGCAGCATTCAGGCCCAGTTGTTCTGTTTACAAAGTGAAGCATTAACATTTCAGCACTGGCAAATCCTTTTCCAACTGCACTGGACAAAGGAAGCTTTTTTGCAATTCACCTACTAAAGAGGTGACAGTTTGCTGGTTTTGGAGCTAATCCTGTGCAGAGCTGGGCATCCTTTGGCCTCCTGCTACCAGTGAGAGCTGAATGCTCAACATCACACAAAATCTCTCTTTCTTTATGGTTCCTAAGCATCTTGGTCATTAACAACTTCTTGGCTTCTGCTAATTCTTGCTTGGCAGACAAGAAGCTCCCTATAAGCAGCTGTGTACAGGGTTGGAATAGAGACAGTGGGTCCAGACCTTGGGAGAATGTGTTTGTGTGCATGAATTTGCTCTTTCTTTTGGCCTGTTTGTAGCATTGAATGGGTTAATGGGCTTTGGCACAGGTGCAAGCATCAGCCAGCACACAGGCCTCAGATCACAGCTATACCTGTGTGAATGACTTGGAATAGGACTGTTAAAGATATGGCCCACAGACCTGTGTCATCGAGCCCACAGATGCTCCCAGACAGGCTAGGAACTCAGGGGTGAGGTGAGTTGGGGAAGGGCCACTGCCAGTACCCAGGATGTGGAGTTTGAGGGTGAGTCACTGCTGTGTTAACCCCTGCAGCTCCCTGGCATCACTTGTTCAGTCTCACTGCTCACCCTGCCATGAAGGTGGGTCCATATATAGCCCACCAGGAGCCCTGTGGTCTGGATGTGGCCTAGAGGGCCAAGTGAGTTTGACACCTCTGGGCTAAAATAAGTGTCTGTGTTGGAGTTGAGTGGTTTTATCACTTGGATGACCTTAACTTTGATTCATGCCTCTTT